TCCCTAGGACCCACATACCCCAAACCACCCTGATGCTGCCCTATGTGAAGATTGTGGTAGTTTAAATGTATTTGGCCCCCATAAGATCATAGGGAGTGGCACTATCAGGAGGTGTGGCCTTGTTGGAGGAAGTGTGGTCTTCCTGGAGGAGGCCGCATGACACAATCTTTAGTCCAGACCTTGAGGCTGGAGGGCACACTTTTAATCTGGGCCACATCTTCTGATGGAAGTGTGTCATGGGTGGGGGGAGGTTGGAGGTCTTTTTCTCAAGCTTCCTTCAGTGTGACAGTCAGTCAACTATCTGGTGCCTCCGAGTCAAGATATAGCACTCAGCTCCAGCACCACATCTGTCTGCATGCCATGCTCCCTCCCCATCCTGATGATAATGGACTGAACCTCTAAAACTGTTAGCAAGCACCCTCAAATAAATGTTTTCATTTATAAGAGTTGTCATGGTCATGGTTTCTCTTCACAGCAATAAAAACCCAAACTAACGACAAGAATTTTCCAGGAATCAGTGGCAGATAGGAAAATCTGGAGGCAAAAGGCACTCAAGGTCAACCGTAGAGAGATTCACTCATGTCATTAAGGACAAACTAGAATGCAGTGGCATGGCTAACAACTAGGAATATGGATTTTGAAGTTCAGATCCCATGTTGGAAACAGACCTCTTTAGTTAAAGCATATTAAACAAGTTATCTACCCTCTCTGAGCCCCAGTGAACTCATTTATACATCAAAGAAAGCAATACTGCTATGACAAAGTGTGTGTGTGTGGGGGGGGGGGAATCCCCTGAGGTCAGATAAGAGCAGACATGGCTGGAAGTCTTGAAAAGGAAGCAGAATCATACAAAGGCTTAACCCCTAGCACTTAATTGCACTAAAAATGTTAACTATCATTTTATCAACTTCATCATCATTACTAATAATCTGGCATAATAAAATTTCTAAACTAACAGCTTCAAGGACAGACTCTGACCACCACTGAAGCAGGATAGAAAGGGAAAATCATGGCTGCATGGGAAGGAAGGGCCCTTCACCCCAGAGTCTGACTGGAGCCTCCTGCCAGCAAGCACAATTAAGATTTGTATAAAGTTTGCCAGCATAGAAATAATACTCCTTTCATATATAGCTAAAACAGTAATGAAAACTCTTCAGGCCTGTGAGTGCATGACTTCGGGCAGGGATTTGTTCCCTTTCCAGAATGCTTTCTGGGAATCTCAAACAAGAATCAACTTTGAAGTCAAGATTTCCTACCCTCCTGTGTCCCTGTAATCTCAGCAACTCTAATCCTTCCAGGTGCCTCTTAGGAGCCACCTGGACCAAAAAAGACCTTTGAAGGCAGTAATTCCAGAGACTTCTAAAATGACATGCATGGTGTATTCCCTACTTTTCTATTGCTGTGATACAATACCATGACTACAAGCAGCTCAGGGAAGGGTTTGGGCTTGTGGTACCAGAGAGCTCGATGTTCATGGGGGCCGGAAGATCACATCTCATCTGCAAACAGGAAGCAGAGTGAGTCAACTGGAAGTGGGGCAAGGTTATAAACTCTCAAAGCCCACCCCCAATGACGTACTTCCTCCAGCAAGGCTCCCCATCCTAAAAGTTCCATAACTTCCCCAAACAACACCACCAACTGGGGAGTGTTCAAATATATGAGCCTCTGGGGACATTTCTCATTCCATCTACAATATATTACTACTGTAAAGACAGTGGAGGAAGATTTGAGAATCTCATACCCTTGATCAAGGGTGCCTCTTTCTCTTGATCCTTATGCTTAAAGTGTATATTAAAATGTCTTTATTAAACCCAACTCCACTTCATTCTGTCTAGTCTTGAAATTATTTTCTGGATTGAAATCAGGAATCCTCCTTTGGCCTTCATTCAGGTACCTAACAGTCTAGGGGAACTAACTCCTCAAACATCTATCTACAGGAACCACAGTGGGTACCCTCGAAGTGCTAGATTCAGGCCTTTGTAAAAGACTTACAGCAAGTTGGGTGAGGGATGGGGAGGGGATGGCTGGGCAGTCCAGTGTGCCCACACAGGTGTGCTGGCACCTCCTCTGGCCTCAGTCATGTAGAGCCTCCAGGCAGAGGTGCTCTTTTAAGAGAGAACAAAGAAACGGGAAGCAGAGCTCTCTGGTGACATGGTGGCCTCCCACAAGCACATCCTCAGAACGGCTGCTTTGGGGTCCTGGCCTCACTTCCCCAGTCCTGTCGTCACTGTCACCATGGTGGGGGCACAGTGAAGCCACCGAACTAAGTCACTCCATGGGTAGAAAGAAAGCTGTGTTGGAGGAAATCGAAAGCTGCCATGACTCTCTCTCTGGGGACAAAGGGAAAGCAAAAGGCAGGGAAGGCTTTGCTATTGTTACAGGTATGTGTTCGTAGGGAACTAGATGCCCCATTTTCCAGATAGGCAGTTGGCTGTTGGGAGAGATAAGGAAAGGAGTGGCTGTTAGATTATTAAAGAGCAGCTGTCGGGGATGGAAGGGGAAAAGAGAGATTTGCTCTGACTGTGGGTGGGACCATGCTTATTCACTGTGAGGGGCATCTTTTTCATGCAAGTACGTGGATGGCCAAAATGCCTTTGGAAGAAGATGGAATAAGGCCCCTTATAGAGGCAGGAATGACTTCCAAACTCTGCAAGGGAAACTGGGAAGTGTAGTCTTTTAGCAGGAAACTACCATTCCTAACTCTGAGGGGATATAAAAATGCAGGGCAGGGGCATCATAGCTCTTTTGTGCTGAGGAGGTCTATGTCAGAGAGAGTAGTTCTGTGCATTGAAGACGTGGTCCTCTTGTCCTGTAGCAGGGGGAGAGTCTAAGCTTGACTAACGGCAATGGATCGTACAATTGCTGTTCTGCATTCCTGAAGAGACCTGAAAAATAATTATAGAAGACTCTAAGCAGAGGGTTTGGTTATAATGTAAAACTGAGAGATTTTTCTGGGAAGGTTGTGGGAGGGGGAAGCACAGAGGCAGAAAAGACGGAGTGGGTTGGTGACAGAAAGTGAGTATAGATTTGATTCAAGGTGAAAACGCCTGGTCCCATTGCCAGGACTGCTGCACCAGATAAGCCAGCGAATGTGGAGGGAAAGACAGGGCATCAAAGGAAGGGAACAGGAGGAAACAGAGGACTGGTGGAAAGGACTGTATCTGGCCTGGGGTGAAAGGGATGACCCCTTTAGCCAGTTTCTACATGGCAGCTAAAATATGCAATGTGTTGCAGATGTATCAGGAGCAAATGGAACTATTGAGGGTAAGCGCTATTGGGAGAGTTGATGTGGAACATTTGTCTGGGTACAGGGTGAAGTTCAGAAAAGGAAACATTTGAATTCAGGGTAACAACACAGGTGTGAGGGTAATAAGGAGGAAAGAGTGACCCAGGGGAGGAGCCGGAGCAGGAGGGAACCAGAAGGAAGTTCTGTCTAGTGCCTGTGTCTTTAGACCCCATTGCTAACCAGTTAGGATTTGTTGGTGTGGAAGCAGGATTGTTCCAGAGCGCACAAATCCCATCCTTAGCAGGAGTCAGATCCTGGCCTTTTTAACCTTGGAGTACTGCAGCACTCATGGAGTCCAGCTGGTCCTGGAGGACGTTAAGCTGATCTGAGCCAGTGAGACAGAGAGTAATTGAGGCAAAGGAGGCTTCAGTCCAGCTGTTTCAGGTCTGAGTCCCCAAACCATGTCCAGAACAGCAAGAAGAGAGATGAATTGGATAGTCCAGAGCCCAATAGTCCTCTTTAAGAAGTCATCTAAACTGCTCTTAGGGACTCGAAGGGGGGCATCAATTTCTTGGCAACTGCTTCAAGGCTGACAGAAGGGAGGAGAGCAGCAATTAGAGAGCCCCAGAAGAGGGTCCATCCAAGGGGTCATGAGAGAATTTGGCAGTTGGCAAAGATCCAGAACGTAAGTCAGGAGGTAATAACTGTACAACTTTGTGGGGAACATTAAGAGACAAGGTGACATGGGGAAAACATTGACATAAAGATTAACATGAATTAAAGCAACTGTACAAGTGGCTGGACCATGTGCCAGAGTTCTGTGGAAAGATACGGTGACTAATGAGCTGTTTGTTACATCAGTCTCCTACATGAGGAACAAGCTCCTGGAAGTTTAGTAACAGAAGTCAAAGTCAGCACCCAATGAATGACTCTGAACAGAAAGCAGCTAAGTGGTGGTCCTTGTTTTATTGTTGGTTGTTTTTACTCTTCTGGGGGCCTGCCATCCAGTTCCCAAATAAATCACATACGGAGGCTTATTCTTACTTATAAATGCCCAGCCTTA